GTATCTTTCATGTTTCTCCTGATTGGCAAGCTACATGATTTTTTAATGAGTGTTCGGCTTTTTCTAGTTACTTCACACGGAAATTGCAATTAACCTTTTCGCAACAGTGCACTTTGTTTAAGACGCTCGTGAGGGACGGAAGGGAATCGAAGGCAGTCACCATACCGGACGGAGGTTTTGCATCGCTAAGCCTGATTTTATTTAAAAAAAAAAAAAAAAAAAAATCAGAAAAAAAAGTTTCACTTCTAGCCTCATGATTTTTGGTATCATTTTAGATTATTACTTGAGCTCCTATATATGTTAAAATTAGCACTTAATAACATTTTTTTCTTTATTTTACATGAAAATATACTTAAAAATTTCCTTATCTTGTAAAATAATTTTTGGAAGCGCTATTCAAATTATTCCAAAGTTTTAATTGACAAAATTCATCAATACAGTCTAAAATTAATAAAACACATTAAAGCCCAGGCTGATCTTTAGAATATGGTAACTGGTAGTTTGGCGACATTTTGGAGGCGATAAAGGTTACCTGTGACTTTGGTAATAATGTGAGCAGTACTCAGTTCCGATTACGCATTATTTTGTGTGAGGGAAATGAGAGATCATGGGATATGTCATGTGATATTAATGACGAATTAACGGTTTCTTTAATCGGAAAAGGGGGGAAATCGGGAAAAAATCTGGAAATTTTGTATTTGGCTTTATTCTGTGTTGTGTGAAACAGTGTTCGTAAATTTTTGGATCCCATGGCCCTAATTAAAGTGAATTCAAAATGAGTATTTAGTGGGATTGAAAGGGGTAGTAATAAGTGTTTCTATAAGGTTGTGCGAGATAGAAGTAAAGATGTTTTATTAAGTTATTTATTTTACCTGGTACCTTGCTGTGAACTATATGTATGATTTTAAAGATCCTGAAACAGAAATAAGAAAAGTTTATCGGACACGTAATCAAGATTCTGAAGAAGATTAGGTAAGTTAGTATTTTTAATTATTTGAGGGTATTATTCTTATGCATTGTTCTAAATGTAAGGTGGAAGTAAAGTAATTTGGTATTTATTGGGAAAATTGTTATTAGCAATGACTTAGTTTAAAGTAATTAGGATTGTAAGCTAATTTTTATTAATTTAATGTATGTGCTTGTTTATATTTTAAGTAGTGTTTTTGAATTTAATTATATTTTAATTAAATGAGTTATTTTGTGAATTTTATGTTTGTAGGAATTTGGTATATACGTTTTAGTTGAAGTAAACGTGCATGGAAATAATTTAAATATTTGACACTAAGTATTTGTAATGTTTGCGGTATGAGAGGTAAAAGTTTTTGGATATTTTATTTATTTATATGTGGAAATGTTCATATTTGGAAAGGGTATATACTTTTTTCGTTATTAGGTAATTTAATATATGTTCTTTTTAACGGGTTTAAAGATTCAGAAAATTGTCATGCATTTTCGTGAAAATTTTCTAATTTATGAGAAAAAAGGAGTGTACATGGATATGGTGAAGAGTGTGCGCAATGCCATTTTTGTGTAATTCTGGGATGTTTTTTAAAGTAAAAATAAGTCGACGTGTACATGGTTTATGTGTATGTGTTATTTTGAAAAACGTGTTAGGAGTATGGTATTGTGCACTTTTTCCCAATTTTGCAGTGAATATTTGTCATGATTAAGCAGTTTTGTTTGATAAAATTTCTAGCATAAGTGTAATTCGGCTAGTAGATTGTTGGAAGAAGTGTTCAGTAGATAAAAAGAAAAGAAACATGTCTTTACTTCGTGAAGACAAAATGGCGGCGGGGAAAAAAAAAAATAGAGGGTTGCTGTAGGAGAGTTGGTCGCCAAAAAATCGCCAAGTTACCATAATGTAAAGATCAACGAAAGCCTATTTACAGTAAGAAGTAACAAAATTTAAAATGAAGACTGAGTGTGGTAAATCTCGAAGCACGGAGAAGTATCCCTTTCTAACTCTTAGAAAAAGTATCACTTTCTAACTCCTTAGAAAATGAATCATCACTCTCATTCTGCATTAAGTAAATGGTTCATTAACCATACAAGGGTATTCTTCCTCTGATAAATAGCGCCTTCGCGCCATAATAGACTAGAGGTGAGATTTCCCGAAATAAAAAGAGAAAAAACAGAAGATATATCTGAAGGTCAATGCAAAACGTAAAAGAACTGTACACTAGTAACCCTAAAAGACCGTACATAGTAGAGGGATAAAATAGAATTAAAGAAAGGAATTGGATATAAATCGGACACGCGAATATCTTACATTAGCATGCAGCAATTTAAAGAGCCCACCTCTGTTTTACGCTCCTTCCGCTCCCCTCCACCCTCGCAACAGCTGATGAGTAAAATACCAAACTAAATAATACTAAAAGTCAAGCCCTAAAAGCACACTTTAATACTAAAAGTCAAGCAGAATATATCAAAATCAAGGTCAGGAACCTAAAACTGTGTTCATTTCAAAAGTAATGGACATAGAATGCCATCTAGTGGCCTTCAGAATAACGTTCCAGCTTAAATAATATATAAATCTAATACATATCCTAAGTCATGCTTTCGAGACATGAAAAACGCAGTTTGAATTTTGTCAATCGTTCCAGTAGAACAGGAGGTATAACACTGAACCATTTTTTTTTTAGCAGTGTACATACATATGTGCTTGCATGAACACTAACATCCATGCATACATCGTACATTTCTGAATCCGCTCCTGGAAACAGAAGAATACATAAAAGAATTAAAGGGAAAACTGTAAATCAGACAATATATATGATGATATGACAATTTTTAGAGCTATACTTACTTATAGGCAGGGAATACCTCCTTTAGAAAAATAAAGGGGTGAAAAACCTAATTAAATCAAAGATATTTATACTTCTTATTTTTTTTCCCTTAAATAAGTTGAAGCTTTGTCTTTTTATCCTTTTATTGCAATTTAAAGCAAGTTTAAATTTTTAAGCATCTTTTATTTTTGTAATGACAAGTATTGAATAAAGAAAATAAAACTAAAGATAATTTAAAATACAGAAAAGTTAATATAAGAAATAAACATGCACCTTTTGATAAGGGTATTGAATTTAACGGCATACACCACAATCACTGTTTCACAAGCACTTTATTATACTAGACCTTCAGAAAAAAAATTTCATGCCATTTAAATTGTGGGCTAATCTTTGGAATATGGTAACAGGTAGTTTAGGCGACATTTTGGTAAGGCGATAAAGGTACATGGATAAAGTCAAGAGTGTGCACAATGCCTTTTTTGTGCAATTCTGAGATGGTTTCTTAAGTGAAAATAGGTCGATGTGTACATGGATACCGTGTATGTGCAATTCTTAAAAACGCGGCAAGCGATTCTGCACTTTCTCCCAATTTCGCACCTAATCTTCGTCATGATTAAGCACTTTTGTTCCATAAAAGTTCTAGCATAAGCGTAATTCGGCTAGCAGATTGTTGGGAAAAAATGTTGAGTAAAAAAAAAACCTTTACTTCATGAAAACAAAAATTAGCAGGTTGCTGTAGCAGAGTTGGTCACCATATTTTCGCCAAAAAACCGCCGAGTTACCATAATCCAAAGATTAACCAAATTCTGTTTAATCATTTCCTGTACGTCAAAACATTTATTTCATTTCAAAATACAGGAAATTTCATTGTAAACTCTATATAATTTGCGATCTTTCTATAGCATGTACAGCACTGGAGATAAAATACACTCTTTCGTTCACAATTTTATGATTGAACTTCAGTATTGGGCCAGCTTTCCTCAAATTCCTTTTAATTAAAATAATGGTAATTATCAGCGAAGGAAAATGAATGCACACACAATATGTTTACAAAAGTACATAAGTTACTAGTACATCAACACAACAATGACAAATATACGACACCAATACCAAATAACCCAATAAGACATTTAACACTAAATATTTTGAAATCTCTGTATAAAACACAAGTAATACATACTTTTACCCAAGAATTGGGTGCCCCTTCAACTAGCGACAATTTTTTTTTAAATTTTGGCGATGAAACTTCACTTCTGGTTATCACGATAGTTTTTACTTTGTTGTAGCTTCCTGATTTTATTTAAATGAAAATAGATCGATGTGTACATGGACAAATTTAAGACAGTGCCCCATGCCAAGTTTGTGCATTACTAGGATTTTTATTTTAAGTGAAAATACATTGATGCGTACATGGACACAGAGTTTGTGCAATTCTTTGACTTCTTATTTCAGTTTTGTGTAGCGGCCATCTTGAAATTGTCTCTCCAGGCGCTGATCGTGGCGTCAAAAAAAGAATCATCAAAAAACAAGGGGCACCCAATTGTAAACTTTTACCCAATACAAAATACAATACATTTCTACGCAGAATATTTCCATTTTCACAATTCTACGCATAACGATTAATTACCATATGTTTCGTTTTATGTATAATGTATACCTCACTTCTGGTTACCATGATAGTTTTTACTTTGTTTTAGCTTCCTGATTTTATTTAAATGAAAATAGATTGATGTGTACATGGAAAAATTTAAGGCAGTACGCCATGCCAAGTTTGTGCATTTCTAGGTTTTTTTTTTTAAGTGTAAATACACTGAAGCGTACATGGACACAAGAGTTTGTGCAATTCTGACTTCTTATTTTAGTTTCGTGTAGCGGCCATCTTGAAATTGTGCCTTCCAGGCGCTGATTGTGGCATCAAAAAAAGAATCGCTAAAAAAAGGGGCACCGAATTGTAAACTTTTACCCAATACAGAATACAATACAATACATTTCTACGCAGAATATCTCCATTTTGACAATTCTACGCATAACGATTAATTACAATATGTTTCGTTTTGTTCCCCCCCTCCCCCAATATTCCTCGAAGCGAAAAAAAATAATGTAAATATCAAAATAATAATCTTTTTCTTTCAGACACTGTAATAAAAAATCGAATATCATAAAATGTAACGTTACAGCACACATAATTCGAAAAGCTAATAAAAGAAAAATTACCTTCAGACGGCACAGGTTACCATCCCTTGCATCGTTAAATACAACGTTTCTAAAGTCTATTTTATGTTGTTTAGAGATGAAGATGTTGGAAGCCATTTTACACCTGATTTCTTTTCACTAAGAATTAGAATTACAGACGAGAAGAGAAAACTAAACCAGAACTTGTAACTTATGCAGCGAATGAATGACACACCTCGATCAATAATCCCATACAACGACTGACTGACACTAGCGGCTCAAAACAGGGATGGCTGTGAACGGCTCCCTATGAGAAAATCTTTTGAACGAACTGCGCATGCGCCGTTTCTTTTTATCGCCAACAAATGATGGTAAACATATTGTAATTTCTCGCCAGCGTTTCGCGTTTCATTTGAATTAGCGTAGGTGTTATCAGTGAGATTAATAACAACGATAATATAAAAAGTCATTTCAAATGTTTACCCAAGGAAATATTTTTTGCTCTTTTTCACACTATATATGCTATCATCGATAGATTAAGAACTTTTAGTAATTAGGTCAAAATTAATTTTAACGTGTAAATTTCAAACTCACAAATTTGGTGCTGGTTCCTTCATAGATTTTTCCGCACACCCCTATTGGTTTATTAGGTGCCTCCGTAATAAAGTGACCACCACCTGGCCTTAGTTGTGGCCAAGCTGAAGGCCCGCCCTTGGGGGGGGGATATTTTTAAGTCGCCATTGGAATACTGGTTTATTTTTTTTATTCTTTTTTGATAATGATATGGATCTAACAATTTGGGAATTGCCCAATGACAAAATGTCTGCAATATAATTTTTCCAAAGAAAAGACATCATTCATTATAGAATATTATGATCGAAAAACCACGAGATGAAATTATGCTTTAGCGGTAACTCAATAGCGAAATGGAGGTGCAGGAATGAACCTGTATTCTGAAGAAAGGATTAAGAAGTCAGATATTGGATCGAAGGACGAAAATCCCCTTCCTTATAACTGATAGGCAGGCTCACCTATTTTTGGTATCAGGAGATGACATCTATTGAATTTTGTGAACTCCAACTGAAGATGAACCACAATACAACTGTAGACTGGAAGATATGCGTGGTGTGTGCCATAGCTTTAATTTCTCAGCCTAAGTTGAAATTCGGCGGATGTGGAAAAAATTATGAAGCAGACAAAAGCCTTTTCAGTAGAAGCCGAATAACATTGGGCGTCGTCTTCTGCCACAATGGGTTTTGGTGGATTCTGCAGAGAATCAAAAGAATGTTTTAGTCGCTATTCCAGATCGATTGGTGAAAACCTTATGGAACATCATAAAGGTTTGGTTTGGTTTATGTGATTAGAGCAAAGCCTCGAGGGCTGTCTCCCTAAGGGAAGAGAGGCCTACGTGGAGGACTTTCTAAGGGAAACTGGCTTGTATACACGTTACACATAGAGAAAACCATTAAATTGTCCATACAGCCAGCCCGTTTGTGGGATTCAAACCTCAGACCGAACTACATTGTTCAGCGACTTATCGCTCGGCCATTGATGTTCGAACATCATAAAGGAAAAATGTCAAGAATGAAGCATTATGTATACTGACTGCTAGAAATCATATAAGTTGATGAACTGCGATATGTCGGCATTGAACATTTTTACTGTCAACCACAACTAGAATTTTGTGGACCCCCGAAACGGGACCATACGCAAACAATACGCGACTGTCGGGCAGTGCTAAATGGCATAATAAACACCATCGAGGCACATTTCAATTCTTATTGTCCGAGTTTATGTATAGACATTTACAAAAAAAAAACAAAAAAAAAAACTGAAATTTTTCTGCGATGTTGCAGGATCTTAAAAATTTTATGCCTCCCGTTTAATTTCACTTATTTTACCCTTTTTTTAATAAATTAAATTAACAAAAAAGTGTAATATATGAAGTTAACCTTCCATCAACTTAAATTAATAATCTTAGATAGTTACAATAATGCTTTCTTACAGTTACAATTAGCCGTTTGTTTATATTAAATTATAATAATAAAGTGTATTATATGAAAGTAAACTTTCATCTAAATTAAAATAATAATCTTAGATAGTTATTTTTTATTATTATGCTTTTCTTGAGTTAAGGTTACATAATTATTTTGGCATCAACAATAGTTTGGTGATTTTTTGCGGTCCTATGACGGAATTGTACCGTATTTTTAATGAAAATCTAGTTATTTAAGTCCTTTGTATCTATAAAAATACATACTGCAATTATTTACTTAAGTCATAAGGCCCTTTCAAAAGTTTATGTCTAATTTAAAATAATTAGTTAATGTCAACTTAATCATATATATAATTATTGTAAAATCGTGGTGTTTAAAATGCTTTCGCTACTGAAAAGAGTGTTTTTGTTATAACTTTATAGAATTAAAAATCCCTCAAAGTAGTATATTTATATTTAAAATGTTGTTAAAAAATTTATTTATTTACATGATGTTTTCTTAGAGTGAAGTAAAAAAAAAAAAAAAAAAAAAAATGATTGCTTGCTTTTTCTTCATGAAGGTATATTTTCTAATACAGTATAATAAAACTTTTGAAAATGTTTCATGATTCGAGTAAAATGGGATAAGGGCCTTTATAGCAGTCGAAACAATGTCGTTTCTTTTCAAATTGTATGTGCCATGTTCAAATGCATGATTATGTGAATTCAATCACAAATTGATTCTGCTTGATCTGAGTGTTTCATGATTTTTTTGCTGTATTGAAGAAAATTTTTTGGGAAATTAGTTAATGGCATTAAGGTTCTTTAAATTAGTGTGTTCAAGATTCGGCGTAAGGAATCTATTCATGCACATTATGTTTCTGAGAATAAAATCAGAAAACTGTTATCCTTCTATTTATAAATATGTTGGTAATTTCAAATGTAGGTAATAATGGAACTCTGATGTAAATAGAAATTATTATAAAAAATGTTGTATGATTCTGACAAATTTGAATGTAAAGGGTTTTTATATCATTTGACACAAGGCTGCGGTTATTCACTTAAAATCAATTAGGCCCTTTTCAGATTGTATCTGCCATGTCCAAATGCATAATTGATGTGAATTTAATCACAAGTTTAATTCTAATATATGGAGTTTTTTCTAATTTTGAAGAAAGTGTTTTGGATATTGACTAATAGCATTAATACCTTTCAAATAATGTAGCTTTATTTAATGTAGAGTTTATGTGAATCTATTCATGCATGTTGTTCCTGAAAATGACATCAGAACATTAAATACTTGTTTATTATATTCATGAAAAATATTTCAACCTAGGTAATTATTTATTACTCTTGTTGTAGAGCTATATTAAAGTGTTTCGCATTTTGTGTTAGAAGTTGGATGTTTGAAGTTTTTGCTTTGAAAATTATTTCAAACCTTAAAAAACTATTCTTTAGTATTACAAAGTTTGCTTTATCTAAGTGTAATCGTATACAAGTTAGGATATATAATTTAGATCTTTATGCTTGTTCTCTGCATTAAAAATCAAGTTATGGTTATATGCCAAAAAAGAGAGAGAGGATCTTTTTCAAATTATTGTCTAACATTCAGATGTTTGATTTAAGTCAGTTTATTTGAAATGAAACTGAAGAAATTTATTACTTGCTACTATTATTAGTATGCGGTGTAGCTGAAAATCAGTAAAAACATTTTAATGATAAAATTTTTGTATCTGAAAACTGAAGATAATTTTCTTTTTTCCCTTTTTGTAATTTTTATGTACGTTAAAACTTGTTATTGAGTTCTTACATTTTCCTATTTTTCAAGTGTTAAATACTATATGAAATTTTTATAGATGATTACTATATGATATACTATATGATTTTTTAGTAAAATAAAAATTTATTTTGATTTGAGCAATTTTCTTACTTTATGAAATCACAAACTTTTTAAGAACTACAAACTCATTTAAGAACATCTTATTACAAATAATGTTTAACATTTAATATTTCTAAAATCTAAATTTATAGGTGATGAAAGCATAAATGAAGAAGTACGTCATACTCAATTAATCAAACTACATAAAGAAACATTTACGAAAGTCAGTAAACTGTATTGCCACTATTTCATTATTATTATGTTTTAATTTGCATTTTTAAAATTCTCTAAAATGGGGCATAAATATAATGATAGAAATAAAATGACTGCATAATAGGTATATAAAGCGGTTTGAAATCTGATGTAAGAAAGTTTAATTTTACTATATTATGCAACGATGAATTTCAATCATGAAGTTGGAAGGTTTTGTTTAGAAGGAGATTCTGATATAACCCTAGAGCTTCTGTGGAAGTTTCTATTGTTGGTCATGAGGCATTCCTCCTTAAGGATATCTGTAAATACTTTTACATAATCCAAATAATCCTAATCCGTTAGGTTCTCAGTGAAAGCTATTCCTTCTGTTAGGTAGCTAGCAACACATTTCATCATTCTCAATTAAACTAGCAACCTCTTTAAATGTAATAGCTTGATTCCCATAGAACATTTTAAAATTTAGGAAATATTTTTTTGTAATCTACATGAGCATTAAAGTTATATATGAATGAAAATACTCAAATAATTATTCCAAACTAAATAAATATGATTATGGTTATTAGAGAAAATTCTGAAATTTGTAGGTTTTTTTTTTTTTTTTATTTTTTTTTTAGTTGTTAAAGATGTCTTCAAATCAATCCATAATAAAATTATTACTTTCAGGTTAGATTAACTTCATATGGACTATCTGCCTAAGGGAAGGGATGCTCCATGGAGGACCTTTCTTAGGAAACTAGCACCCAAAATATTTATTTTTATGACAGGAATTTCTCTATTTTTTCTCAGAAGCACTAACATTATTCGAAAAATGTCTCTTCTGCCTAGTGATGGCTCGGAAGCTAACGTGAATGTTTTCACGGAAAAATTTTATATTTAACTGTTCAGTTTTCATTGTTCGCAAAGAACTCTGTCTAAATAGCAGATCTTTCATTTTCAGCTTTAAACAGTACTATGTGTGAAATATTATTTTATATAAAGTGAAAAGGAGTTTTCGAATTTCCAAATTGATAGAAAAAATGGCGCTAAGGAGGCCCAATATTAAATAAATACATTTGATTCGCAGCCACGCTCCGAAGGACTACAGTGAATTTACAGATAACTGAGTCCCTGATACCGGAAGTTTACCGAAAAATGTGTACTTTTTCCCATGATGCCTTTCGAAATCGCTGATGCAATGTAAGGTTACCAGAATAAATTTTAGAGCCAAGTGCATTGTTCAAAAGTAGCCAAGCTT